AATAAAACAATAATTTCATATCGTCATTGGCACTGGGTGCGTTATTCAACTACGATACATCGATAGCAACTAGAGACAGGACGTACCAAATAAGATAAGATAAATATATACTTCATTGTCGATGAAAAATAATTTCCTATTGACAAAGCTTGTACAAAATATAGTCTGTGAAACTCTCAAAAAAATATGAAAAAATTTAAAATCAAAACACAAATACACAGAATCACACAATTTGAAACAAGTCCACACGTCATGTATAAAATGTAAAATATTGCAATCTAAAATAGAATTGAACATGAAAATTTGCAGTTTGTTGAAAAACAAAATAGTTTCATAATCGTTCACTAAATAAAAAACAAAAAACACAATTTTACAGAGAAACATTATTTGAACATAAGTTCACAAGTCATTAAATCAGAAACATATTTTATTAGTCAAAATCAGACTCCACATATAGGATAAATAAAAGACAATATGAAACTTCTAATCACAACAGAGTTTCATTGTAATATTCCTCAAGGTTGTAATACGCTTTTGTTGCAAGGGCTTCTTTCACAAGATTTCTGAACTTTTTATAGCTTTTCTCCTTCCTGATTTCATACGGTATGTGGTTAAACAGCTTTTTACTTTCATATATTAAAGAATATTTTGTCTGGCTTAGAATTTTTTCTCTAAATACTGTCACGCATCTCGTCAGAGGCTGACTTGCTTCTGCATGGCTCACTCGCAATATTCGATGAGTCCTGTTTCTAGACGCTTCGATTGCAAAACAGATTTTTGTCACAAATTTCACCCCTCCACATCAGTTCCTGAGGTTTCATTCAACTAGCAACGAAACTAACCCTAACAAGCTCAAAAGCAATTGAACAAAATGAAATAATTGGATTGAAGACGAAACTCGAACAATTCGAAACAGTTGTGATTATAGTCATGGAATATAAAATCTTGAGCATCACAAAGATTGTTTCCAATGCACTGCAGAGTAAAAATCAAGATATTCAGAGAGCGTCAAAGCTTCTAGAAACTGCTTCAAAAGATATTGCAGATATCAGGGCAAACTTCGAAGGAGTTGTAAATGAAGCAGCTGATTTAGCTCGTGGTTGGGGAATTCATCCGAGTTTTAAGAATCAAAGAGTTCGTAAAGTGAAAAAACATTTTGGTGGGTTGTCGTGTGACGAACGACTATCCAATGCCAAAGAGAACTTTCGTGTGTCTGTGTTCAATGTAACGTTGGACGTTATTATATCACAACTCGACAATCGTTTCAAAGGGCTGAACAGCTTAGTTCGAAGATTTGAAAAACTTTTTCCTTCGGTTTTGAGAAAACGGAGTGATGCTGATTTGGTACTTCTCTCTGAGAAATTGATTAGCTTTTATTCCGATGATTTGTCGGATTCACTTTCACAAGAAATTTCAAACAATTCGATCGATCACTTGGCGAAATTAGTCATTTGCGATCAAATGATCTCGAGTTCATTCAAAGAAATATCCTGTGCTTTTATTCTCTTTCTAACAATTCCCGTCTCTGTTGCAAGTTCGGAGAGATCATTTTCAATCTTAAAATTGATTAAAAATTATTTGAGAAGTAAAATGTCGCAAAGCAGACTTTCTAGCTTAACAATTTTGTCAATACAAAATGAGACAGCCAGGATATTATATATAAATTAAATGATTTCATTGTTTGCCAATCAAAAAGCAAGAAAAGTTGACTTTTTTCATAATAAATAGTTCGATTAGAATACGTTTTGTATTTGCGTTAAATCAGTTATTGGTTACATTCTGAGTTTGTAACTATTCGTGATACCTTTCACAAATAATTATTGTAATTATAATGTATTTTTTTGCAATAAAATCATTATTATTTGAACTATTTCGTGTTATAATGAACCGCTGTGGTCTTGCACCAGGGCCCTGTTTCGACTTGCTACGTCCCTGGAGGTTAGGTTAGGTTGATATAGAACATGTTTCTTCAAAATGCGATCAAACAAAGTTGGTCTAAAATTCTTCGATGCAAATTAAAATTCAGTGCCGATAACGATTTTGTCTGAATTTTGGTAATGAGTTCAATTATTCTCTGAATACGAAAGTATTTGACATCCAATATCCATTGCGCATGTAGGTAATTTTGTTTTATATTTTGATCAAACTATACCAATGAGGAAGCGAAATACAAAATCGAAAACACAGCTTATTAAGGTATCTAGCAGCCAATCTACAGCCGAAACACAAAAACGAAAACATCATGTTTTCGATCATCAACCCGGATATTTCAACCAATCGAAAACGTGTATTTTGAAATGAGTGAAATAATCAATGGAACTCCCATTGCAAACATCAATTCTCTAGCCGCTTTCTGGCCCACTACATGATAGATCGGCAGAATGCTGGCCATGGCCAAGCTGCACCGGCCAAACGTCGGCCCACTGTATGGCATATTTTAATTGTTTGCCTATAATTTAGACGGCACTGGGCCCATAGTGTCAATTCGTATTATGTTCTTACCTACGTCATAACTTACTATTCCAAGCAGAGAAGAATGGAGTAGCAATACAGTGAAGTTTCGCTCAGGCAGCTTAGTATGTTACACCCTTGATTATATACACTATAGTGTGAATACTCAAAGGTTACACATACGGATCCCCTCTGACGCTCTGACTGACAAACAGACCTCGGGCGCAGGGTTCTATGTCGAAGGGGGAGGTGTTTGCCATCATGGTCGTAGCAGAGAGGCAAGAGGTAGCAGAGGGACCAGAGCAGAATATCTACATCTGTTCGGATAGTCAGGCACCACTCAAAGCTATATCTGTCATCCCAGACCAAGCTCGGCATTGGTACAGGAATGTGGAAATGCCCTTGAGATATTAGCCGAATCAAAGGAAGTTGAACTGGTATGGGTCCCATGTCACAGCGGGGTGCCCGGAAACGAAACAGCAGACAAACTTGCTAGGTCCGGATCCACGGAGCCGTTTCGGAGCCTGTACTACGCCAAACTACGTCAGCCCTTGATGAATGGGCAGACAAGTCACTGAGGAGAATACTGGAGGAATATCACAGGTTGCAGGCAGGCCGAGGAATTCGTGGCCGGTCCGAGCAAATCAAGGAATGACTGATGGCTGCTTAGCAGAGACCGTCATGTACTTCGCCTCCTCATAGGAGTACCCACAGGATACAACAGGCTAGGCAGACACCTGACACTTATGGGAATAGAGGACAACCCCACTTGCCGCAGATGTGGGAAGACGAAGAAACGTCACTCCATTTTCTCGGCGAGTGCAAGGCGTACGGGAGACTGAGATTTGAAATCTTTGGAGTCGACAAACTCTAACAGGAAAAGTTGATCATATTAGAGTGGACGGACATACTGGCCTTCATCAGAAGAAGTATGATTATGTTTCAGTTACAATCGAAAAAGCTATTGTGCCCTTCCAACCTTCATTTCACCACCCTTTTTTGTACAATCATGAAATTCCCTATTACGTCCATGTTCCCTATCAATAGGTGCCCTCTACGGGCTCTACGTCACAGAAAGTAAACTCTGTTGCCAAATTTCACGATCATTGCTTTAGCAGTTTCGGCTCGGCGATAACGAATCTGATATATTTTGTCATGGGTGACACAGGTTATCGGGCCACCCCTGTAACTTCTGCATTCGTCAACGGATTTTTATGAAATTCGGTACAGTTATATAAGCAACTATTTCGGATTTGATCACATTACAATCCAATATGGCGGACTTCCGGTTTTTCTGGAAATGCCAGCAATTTTGTTTTTTCAAATGGAACACCCTGTATACTTTCACATATTCAAGTTTAACAGGTCAAAACAAGTGCAATCTTGATGTCGAATGTCATTTATTCCACAGCTTACCTAGATGAAAAATTATTCTAACTGCAAGGAAATTCATAAAATAGTTGTTGATTTTTGAATGTATACAATTTGTTACTGCACCGAAAAACAAAAATGATATGTCATCTTGTTCCTTAATGTATGTTTTAGAGAGACGGGTAGGTGGCCCATAGGGGTTCCATTTGAAAGCAATTAATTTTTGATCAAAAAGTGATGTGGCTGAATTGATTCCTGGATAAGTGACACCAAAAATAATTTTTCAGAAAAAATTATGTTTTTCTGTTATGTGTGACTCATTTTGAATAGTCTTGACCACATCTCATTTATCCACGAGGTAAAATGAAAAAACAATTTCAATTTAAATTTTTTCGAAAAAATTACATTTGAAATAAAAATTGCACTTGTTTCGACCTGTTGAACTTGGATATGTAAAAATATACAGGGTGTTTCGTTTGAAAAAACAAAGTTGCTGGCATTTACAGAAATACCGGAAGTCCGCCATATTGGATTGTAATGTGATCAAATCCGAAATAATTGCTTATATAACTGTACCGAATTTCAGAAAAATCCGTTGACGAATGCAGAAGTTACAGGGGTGGCCCGATACCCTGTGTCACCCGGTATAGGTATATTTATTCATTGTTTCCCAATATTATCTTAAGAGTAATCAAATTTGGTCATGAAAAATAGGCAAGTCGTTGGACTCATAAAATAGGTATGACAAAAATTCGGTAGTCAATCCGAGAATCGGATGTTTTTCCTTGTTCATCGTTTTTATATTATATCTGTTATGATGATGATAATTATCATTAATGGAATATTCCTTGTCGAAAGTTATCCGCCAATAAATTCCGCACACACATCATTTCAAGAAAGGTGTAGTTGCTCAGTTGGAATAAGTTCGATTTGTAACCGGAGAACCAGAGTTCGAATCCCGTAGTGGTCGTTTTTTTTATCCGAATGTATCGGCAGACATGTACTGACCCTGATGACGGTCAGAGTCTCTTATCGGTACTGGCCCATCAATGATTAAAGGGATTTTGCCATTCTGCCCAATTCTGGCCCGACCAAAATTGTTTGCTGTGTCATAACACATATAAACAACAGTCTATGAATATTTCGATTCGAGTACAAACAAATTTCTCATTGCTCACCTGCAGATGATTTACTTATCAGATGATAAGTCACTGAAGCTGACCCAGCACTTTGCCCCATAACGATCACCTTTTTGGGGTCTCCACCGAACAAATGTATATTTTGTTGGACCCATTTGAGGGCAAATTGTTGGTCCTTCAAACCCATGTTGCCTGGCATGACTTTATCACCAGTAGACAGAAATCCTGAGGAAACAAGTCGGTTTTTTATTAGATTTACAGGTGGGATCGGAGTATGCCTACCAAATGGTCCAAGTCTATAATTTATAGTCACAACTATGACATTTTGCTCTATGATGAATTGAGGACCATAGAAACCAGAAGGAGCTGAACCACGTATGAATGTTCCTCCATGAATGAACACCATCACTGGTAATGAGGCATTGCTGCCAGGTACCTGATCAAAACATAGGGAAAAAATAACGGAAATGTTAATAGATATATTATGACAGTAGGTACTTGGTTCCTTGATTGATCTAAATTAACTATGTTCTATTCATAATTACCACTGGAGAATAAACATTTAGATAAAGACAGTCTTCAGAGGCAAGTGCATCTTCTAGTCCAGTTTGGTAACATATTTTAGGGTTCGATGTCATTATCAATATCCCAGACCACTTCTGTACAGGCTTCGGAGGCTGAAAATGTTTCAGGAAAGTCGAGGTGCTTCTATTTATTTTATTTGTTGGGGTGATTCAAAATTCGACGTGAATATTTCAAGGACATATTATTGGGATAAAACTAAGACTTTTCTTCATGTGGCCTGAAATTCAAAAGTGAGGACCACCTTCCATCCCCCCTCCCCCAAAACTGGGTTTACAGAATTTTTGAAGAAAGAATGGAATAATGTGTCCAAAAGTACAAGGGCCTGCCAGTTTTCAGAAGATTTGATCTGTTATTTTAGTCACAGTGGCTGTAGCGTGGAGGGGGTGAATTTTAGGACACATGTTTTTATGGAAAAAAACATTTTTTGGGATTTTCTCTCCTCGTATCTATACAATAAACGTATGAATACTATTTTGATATACGTGTAGTTAGGACAAATCAGATGATTTACCCCAAAATTCAAAAAATTCAAAATTCAAAATTCAAAATTTCTTTAATTCCTTTCAGATCAAGACATATCCATATAAAAGGTTTTTAAACAGACATGTATGATATAGGAAGCGTCAAGGAAAAAAATGTTCTATCAATAGATAATAAACGTCACTGCGTTTAAAGAATTTTCCTATCAGAGAGCCTAAAAGAAAAATTCACTAGCTTGTCTGTGACAATTTGTATTGAAAAAGGTTTGAAGAAGAGATATAAAGGTATATAGAAAAAATATCTAATTTTTACTTAGCTTTGGACGTTTCGGGAACGAATCTGCTCCCGTTTACGACATAAAATAGTTATTTTTGTATCTAGAGCGCGGAATGCTACTTTGGTGATCGAGATCTGATTTTTTTAACGAGGCGTAGCCGAGTTAAAAAAATAGTCGAGATGACCAAAGTATTTCGCGCTCGAGTTGCAAACAACATTTTTTTCTATAAACGTCAAAAAATATAGTTCTAAAGTAGAAATATGCTTAGCTTGATATAAAAAATAGTGTTGAACTGGCTCAACATGCCTCCCCTACCCTCCCTAGATACGCACGATGTTCCACGAACATAATAGGAATTTCTTTTCGTGCGCTCCAAGAGATGAAACAAAGTTATTGTTGAACATTCAGAAATAAATGATTTCGTGGATGTTTGCTCGATTGAGGACCATAAAGTTGAAATATAAATATCTCATATATTTTACATAACAATGCGCGAAGTAGGTACTTCGCGCACTGTTTTACTTCGCGCATTGTTTTGTGCAAGGTATCATGGTAACGTAGGAAACTGAAAAAAAGTGTCACTTCGCAATTTGTTATCAATGCGCAAACCTTGTCATTTTTTGACGTTTGTAGAAAAAATGGATTTTCTGTATTGCGAATTCGTATTTGTCCTGACACTTCTCAGTTCTCAGTGACAATTGGTGACGTTGGCAATAAAATGAGTTACAGGATGTTTTCATTGATTAATCTTGAATTTACCATTTTCATTTTCAGATTTCAGTAGTGAATACCATCATGTTCTATCTATATCGAGTGAACAGGAAGCAATGCTATTGTCTCCGTTCAGAAGAATGCGAGCAGATTCGTCGATTTTTCTCTTCTGGTTGTTATCTTCTTTTCTATATGGCAGAGTGGAATAATATTGAAATCAAGGACACTTATTTTTGGTTCGGGAGATTCGGACATGAATTGTACCAAATAGGGACGTCCCTAGGACGTTGTGTGCTATTTAGGGAATGGAAGCTGCGGAAGTTGGATTTGTTTCCGGAAATTTCAAGAAAAAAGTATGAATTGGCATAAACGAAAAATTTATGGAATCTAAAAAAATTCAGAAATAAAATCTTTTTCGGAAAGTGTACTTTTTTAAAATACTTTGAGGAACTAGGAGAGCCGTCTACTCTTTGGTCACAATATTCAATGTGGCATAGTGCCACATTATAAAATGAATATCAATAAGCTACATTATACTCAGATTCTTTGAATAAGTGCAGTTATAGAAACAGTATATTGTGCAACACGTAGGGAAAAGCGCTTTTCTCACTCGTGTGTTTGCATCACTTGCCCTTCAGGCTCGTGCTACACTCGTGAGAAAAGTTGAACTTTTCCCACTTGTTGCACAATATACTATTATTGATATCGATTACCTATTTATTCAGATTCAAAAACAATAATATTTTTGTGCTGAAGTAATTGATTGAACAAGTTAGTGTTAGTGTCAAACTCTTTTTATATTTTTTGATACAATTGCATTCAATGTCAATGTACATTGTTTTTTATTCAATTTCATTAATTATGAATTTTGTGTGATATCATTACTTTGTCAATGAGAATTCTTTCTTGGACATTAAAGTATATATCTATGTATCCATCTATCTATCTATGAATCACAAGTAGAGAATTGAGAAAAAATCGATAAAAACATAAAATATTGAATCAGTTCAAATAAATGTCCTCCGTTTCCACGAATACACGATGCTTTATATTTTTAATTAATCTTCCATAGACTAACGACTTCCCCAATCTTCTAATAAACGGTTGAGGATCTGCTGATTGGTAATTTAAGTGATGTTCAATTCTGTCTTGCAACTCTTGACGTGAATTTACCTCTGTAGCATAAACTTTTAAGATACAACGAAACTGTGTAATGTGTAATCCATGTTTTATTTCAATTTTTTTTTAGATACTATTGTTGTGATTTATTGGTGATAGTTTTTCATAATACTTACTCTAATACATAACTTTATACCAGCAACATCTATCGCTTCATCATTTTCGAATCGAAATATTCCGCAAATGGAACACAGTATCAAGTTTTACCAAGAGTACCTTCTTGGTGTGAAACTGGATGACATGTTCAAGTTCACATCAAATTCGGGTTGCAAAATTCAACTTCAAAGAAGTTATGTTTAAAACTATTCGGTACGGACCATGTAAGTAGCGCCCTCTGTGAGAGTCAGATATAAAAACAAATTCATGCGATGTGTCAGCTTCCAAAACACATCCATAAAAAATGTCATCACAATGTTGCCAGTAGTTTCGACATAATAGTGAAAAATGTGTAAAAACAAACGATTTCTCAACAACATTTTGAAAACGGATTCCGTAATGAAAGTGTTTTACGAAGCAAACCCAACTTATTTTGCAGTGTTCTACCTACCCTAGCAAGAAGGTCAGGGTTTTTGAAAAAACACCCTGTATATCAAGTGAGAATATTTATTAAAGTACATACCTGAAATCTGTTTTTACCGATAGGAGGGGCTGCATATGGAATCCCCAAAAATGCATAGAAGGGCAGTTTTTGTTTGTAGGTATCAAGGATTTCTCCCCTGATTCTTCCATCTGGTAAAGTAACTACTGGCGTAGATTTGGCATTCTATATGAAAATACAAAGTAGAGAATGAGAATTTTCAAGTACTTCAAGATGTCTCACCGTTAAAGTCAAATACCACAGGAAAATTAATGAAGCAATGACTTTTTGCATTTTCTCATTCATTCCAGACTGATCTCAAATCAAACAGTGCAGGATTTGTAGCTATTATTTGATTTATCGTACGAAACAGATGTCTATCAAAAAGTAAGTTTTTTCCGAGATCTCTCAGATAGATAGATAATGTTTATCAGAAAAATGATAAAAAATGATTGATTTGATTACGCTGTATATACTGGTTTGAAGAGAGTGTATATGTCAAATAAGAATAAAAAGCCAAAAATATTCGCAAACATGAATTTGAATCCGTTGAAGATGAGTGATTGTTACTTGTTTTTATTCTTTGTATGATGGTTGAATTCTTGCTTTTCAATTATTAGGATTTTTTATCTTGTATACCTAGTGTTAAAAGGTCTGTTCATGTAACACATCTTAGAAATTAGATGAATATAGACTGACCAACGATTAGATCTCTAATTAGTAATAATAACCTTATTTCTTTGTATTGAACCAAATGCAATCTGTTTTCGAAACCATAGCATATAAGAATATCATGTTATAATAATAACCACAGTGTAGTTATTATTTCCGTTTTTTATTGTTAATTATATGTCAGGGGACCAAAAATAAATTGGGTCTTTTGAATTTCAATTCCAATCTGGACTGAATAGTGTATAACCTATTTCACTTCCAGTCAGCTGCTTATGATCTATAAGGCACAGATCCGACCTGTCCTGGAATACTGTTCCCATATTTGGAGTGCAGCACCCAAAGATACCCTGAAACTGTTGGATTCTGTCCAAAAAAGGCAATTCGTCTCGTGGCTGATGCCTCGCTCACAAACTCACTCACTTCTCTGTAACACCGTAGAAAAGTTGACGATCTAGCTCTATTTTATAGATATCTTCATTTACGATGCTCCTCTGAAATATCAACAATTGTTCCTCCCTTGACAGTCCCCGCGAGATTAACCCGTCGAGTTGAGGCTTCGCACCCCTTCGTGGTCACTTTGGAGACCTGCAGAACATCTCTTTCCAAAGACTCGTTCATCCAATGAACAGCGAGGCTCTGAAACACATTGCCAAGGGAGGTGTTCTTCGAGGCATATAAAATCCAGAAATTCAAGAAGAACACCAATTCCTACCTTATTTCCCTCGGTTCTCACTATGTTCTCTG